CCGCTTCCCTTTCGCCTCAGACGGCACTCTGCGCACGTCACCACCAACAGCATGTTTCTAAACCTCCCCTGAACCAAACACCCGCAAGGAACGCGACCTGTTCCGCCCCGCAAGGCACCCTCCACCAACGAGCGCAGGGTCACGTCTAAGCAGAGAGCAGCCACGCTGCCTGCCCATGCCGGTGTCCGCACAGACCCCGTGCTGGTGGCCAGGCTCTCGGCTGGTGGCAGCCAGCACAGTCGGCGATGCTGCAGGGGACCGATCCCAGCTGGGGACATAGCTCCTCACGGGCCCTTGCCTGAGGCTGATGGACTGGCAGCAGCAGTCCAAGAAGCGTGCTGCGTATCGCCCTGGACCCGACGCAGCGGTGGCCAGGGCATGGTCTCCTTGGGGACAGACATCCCTCCCGGCCCCACTCCTGCTCCGCGCGGGTGCTTATCGGCTCACACTGGAGCAACGCCAAAGCCGGCCCTGGGCTGTGAGAGGGCAGGCGAACCTTGCGCCAGAGAATCCCAATCATGCTGCGAATCTTCAAAGAAAGAGAAAAGAGAGATGTTTTCGCTGCTGATCTTCTTCAGCACTGCTAAGCACGGGGGAGGCCCTCGGCTGCGCGGGTAGTCTGGCTGCTCCCGTCCCTTCCATGTGGGAGCTGAACCCTGAGGGGCAAGCTGCAGACACTCAACATTGAAAAGCTGCTTTCAGGCCGGCAGGGTGACAGCATAGGCTCCAAGATCCTGGTTTCTTTCTTTCTCCCTATTGTTTCCTTGTTCCCTTCGTTCTGCTGCTCCATCCCGCTCCCTCAGCCCTGCCAGCACTCGGCTGATCTATTCCCTTTTGTGGCGAACATCTCAGCACCAGCCTGTTGTTGGACGGAGCGGAGTGTTCCGCTGCCAAGCTAATAACACAACTGGCCTAAGGGAAAAAAAGTAATTCTTGGAATTCTTTTGCTATTTATTTGTTTATTTTATTTTATTTAAGGGGAGGAGAGAATATGATTTGGCTCCCACCTAAGCTGATCGGGTTTTTTATCATAAACCCTATAGCCCTGAACTGCCCAAGTCCAGATGTCAGACCAGGAATCCAAGCAGAGCAAAGCTGCAGAGGTTAAAAGCTACGAACTGCTCGCTGTAACCCAGCCTCTGTATTTTTACTCCTTTTCTTGCGTGGAGGGATGGAGATCGGAAGCTTTAGGACTCACTGCAGAGCCCTACCTTGTGGCACCATTCACAGTCTTGACTCTAAGTGGTCTTTAATCAGTCAGTATTATCTTAAAGGGGCAAAACTTTAGAAAGTATAGAATAGTTTTTTGCAACTTGTTAAACGCCTTCTTGACTCCTAAATATTGTAGGGTTTATTTCTTGAGCGCTCACTCAGTGAATAAGCAACAACACGGGCCCCCCCCCCACACTGAAACTAGTCAAGGAGAGGAAATTTAAGAGCAAAGTTAAGAGAAAGGGTCTGTCTCTGTGGAGACCACCTACACAAGCAACCTTGAACAACCACCAGCTGAGAAAGGAAAACGAAGTTCTCGATGTTACTCTTCAGCACTGTACAGAGCCCAGGGGACGGCGGAAGGGCCGAGCGCGCCTGGCTCTGGTGTGCCGCAGGTGCCTACCTTTCTCTTCCGACTCCAAAATCTCCTGCAACACGAGGAAGGAAGCAGATTGTCTGGGCGGCTCATTCAACTCCTGGTTCTCCTGGAGCATCTTGTAGACCTCCGATTCCCTGTCTACGACGATGCCGCCCGGGGGCTGGTTATGCTGATCTAAACTGAGGAAGAAACAGAGCGCGTGATGGTTAAAGGGCTGAAAAGTAGAGCCAGTCCCTCTAGCGAAATGACCGCAATGCATCACATACGGCTGGAAAATGGACGTGCAACAGGGGGATGCGGGATGTGCTCGCACGAGACGGCTGCAGCCCGGGTGGGATGGGCGCACTGGGCTCCCTGTGCGTGCCTCTGTCGACGGGTGCTCACCGACCGCCCCAAGTGTTCTCCCTGCTTCGCAACGAGTTTATACTCCACAAACTAACACCTTCTGCCCAGGAAGGTGCTGGGATGGGAAGCCCACGTGGTAGCTGTGCCATCTATGCGGGTTCCTTGCATGCGTAAACTACCTTAGACTGCGACCTTACACCACTATGAGTATCAAATTAAGTGCACTTTATTGCATTAAAAAAATATCTTTGCAAGTACACCATGAATTGGTCCTCGAGGCCACCTTCACACGGTAACAGTTGTAGGATCTAGCTAGAAGATCCTCTGGCTGGCAAGAGCTTCATCTGGCTTTTAAGTGAGCATTATTATTTCCATTTTATAGGTGGAGACCCTGAGCCGCAGCCCATTTACAGCATTTGCCGAAGGCCAATGACTAGGTCAAGGGCAGAGATGGAGCTCTGCCTGCTAGGATGAAGCCCTCCTTCCAGCTGCCTCCTGAGGCAGGGTTTAAATCGAGGGTTTAAACTGACCAAGTGCTGGGCTCGGAGATGGACTAAAGGACACGGGAGGTTCCTGCCCGCCTTGTAACACAGCTTCGGAAACAGGAGACAACCGACAAGTCTCCTCTGACGGCTCAGTTACATAATGCAACCTTATAAATGTAAATGTTCTATTAGGTTTCACCATCCCTGCACCCCGTGATTGCCTGAAAAGAACATAAACATCCTCAATTTCAGACTAAACTGCAGAGAGAAACCTCCTTGAGGAGGCAGCTGCACACTTCCCACGCCAATGTGCAACTGAGTCATCTGGGGGTTACTCTACACCATAAACTCTTCAAGCATCAGAGGTAAAATCATTGTGCAGGTTATAAAATGCTATTTCCATGAAAAGAATTCCATAAAAAGTTTCCATCTTCGGTAATTTTCAGCAGAGTGGGAAGCACATCAGGCTTGCAAGCAGCTGATCCCCTGAAGCCCAAAATCTCACTTACTGAAGCTTCTCCCTCAAAATAAAACAATGTGCCTTCTACGACACAGCACATGTCCTAGGTTGTCCCGAAGGAATCCATGCTCCACGTTACATCCATCTTACGTCAACTCACGCACTCCCACCACTCCACCCACCCATAAAACCGTTAGGCAAGAAGCCTGTCCTTGCAATTTGCGTACCAAGGATGTTTTGCTAACATGCATTCCAAAAGCAAAGGCTAAACTATCTCAAAGAGCACCAGAGTCAACGAAAGCCATCGCATTTCAACCACGCAGAGACTTTGCAGGGGACAACTCCAACAGCCGTTACTGGAGTTCAGACCCACATAACCCTTGCTGGATTTCGCTGCTGCTACCACGGGCAACTTGCAACGCTGACTGACTAACCCCAGCTCTCCGAGTGTTGAAAATCGCCAAGGAGCTGGTAATGAAAGCCAGCCTTGCACAGCATCTTCGGAAAAGCACAGCTTATTCTTCATTAATGTCATTTTACTATTGTGTGCCAGCACATGTAGTGAAGTTTATGGGGATCTCCACGCTGGGCTACAGGAAGGCCCTGTACTTGGAGCTCTTGCTTGTGCAATGAAACGACTGCTGGTGCCTGGGGCTCCTCGGTGAGCGCTGCCAGCTGCCTGGACCAGCACGGAGCGTGACCGCTCCCGGCATGCACCGTACCGACCACGAGCCAGAGCTGTGGCTAACAGCAAGGAGCTGGGCTGAGTACCAAGCCAGGAGTAAATCCACAGCCTCCCACCACCTCTGGGCCACCGGCACACGGCAAAGGTTGGCTGTGCAGGTCCACGAGCGAGGACACCAACTTTCCTGCTTTGAAGCACGTGGTGCTCAGCCCGGAGGGGACCATGAGCTGCCAAGGAGCCGCGAGATCTGGCTGTGGCTCTTGCCATGGGACCACCACCTCCGCGGACCACAGCTAGCACAGCTGCTGCCTGCTCACATCTCCTGAGGTGGCTCAGGCTCTCCTGTGAGATGGCTAAAGGTGCTTTGTCCCAGCGCCGAGGTCCTCGCTGTAAACCCCCACAAACTCTCACTAAGAGGCACGGGCTGGCTGGCTCCCAACAAACACCGAAGGGCACCCAGGCCTTGCAATGCTGCGGCTCTCTGCAGTCCTGCAGACCTCAGGGCACGGCTGGCATCCTCGGCCCCTCCGGGCAGAGCGGCAGCCCCGGGAGGAGCGCCCTGTGCAGAGGAGCGGGCAGGGGTGGGTGCGTAGACCGAGCCCTCCATCCGCCTGCCCGGGCTGTTCCAAACTCACGAGTGTTATCAGCCAGTGATGGAGACCCATGGGGACCTGCTTCAGCCCCAGATGAAACATGTCTTGATGGACTCCATGATCTCCGAGGTCTTTTCCAACCTTAATGATTCGATGCCCAGCCTGCAGCCAATGACACAAAAGCGCAAGGACACATGCGGCAGCACCTTCCACCCGCAAACACCAACAGTGGTTCCAGTGTAGGAGAAACACTGGCCTTTGGGATAAAGCACCTCCTGCCCCCAGCAAGCCCACCCGCGGCAGGGTCTCCTTCGGGGAAGCCACCGGCCGCTGCACGTGCACAGGGGTGATGGACACCGGGCGGAAACCGTGGCTCGGTGCTGGACACAGACACAGCGCGGAGAAAGCTCCCGTGAAGGGTCATGCAGGAATGTCGGCGAGGCGAAATGTCAACGGTGCTCTCCGACGCCGTGAGCCATGGACAGGGACGAGGCGCTTGTGGACACCGAGATGCGGGTGGACAGGCGTGCCGAATCGGCCGCGGAGCAGAGCGGGCAGGTTACCTGGGGAAATCGGGGCTAACGGAGGAGATCTGCCCCTGCAGGGAATCCATGATGTTGCTCTGTGAATACAGCTGCAGGGGGGAATTGAACTGCACGTGCAGCACCTTCAGTCCCGGCACCTCCACCTCCACGGGGCTGTTGGGGCAGACCCGCGCCGCCTGCTTC